AATGTTTCTACTCTACGCGGATCGATCTGTAAATTTCGCGGCGCGCTGTTCGACTGGTTTTAATAAACGAGCGCGCGCGAAGGGAATGCAGATCGCGCACGAGATATATAGGATAGCTACATCTCGGTGGACCGCGGGAACGAACCGACGGCTTTTTCTCGCCCTCGTCCGTCCCTTTTTCTCTCTCCCTTTTCTCTTCCGTCGTCGTCGTCGTCTCCCTTCCTCTCACTCACGGTCCCTCTCTTTTTCTCTCGCGCGCGCATCTCCTTGAGCAAGACGTATCGACGCGGATTTTTTTTCCGCGTCAGTCATTTATCAAAGCCCTTCGTTCTCGGTCCCACCCCACCCACCCGATACACACGGATCTGACCGAAGGATTTAGGCAAAGAGACTAGACGGAGATGGAAAAGGAAAAGAGCGGCGGGGGACGGTAGAGGGAAAGACGTACCCTTCCTCGGACCACATCCGGCAGTACCGGATCGAGACATAAAGCCCATTCTACAATAGGTATAAGCGAGTTATAAGTAGTTGTAAGAATTGATCAATTACAGTCGAATATGAAGAGAATATTTGACTGTAATTGGTCAATTTTTTTTTATAAGTACAACCACTTGCAATTGCATTACGCAATTGTATAGAATGGACTTTAATATCTCGTTAGTACTATTCGAGTTGCATCAATATATGTAATTCGTAAACAAAAAAATTACCAATTTTAATAGACTCTAAATGTATAAAACGTTGCATTTATGGAAAAAAGTGACGTTAATTTATATTACAATTTCAGTGCCATTTCTCATTAGTCCCAATAGAATTCTATGCTCTACAATCATTTTTAAACAGAATTCGTCTATTTTTTCAATTTTGATTTTGACAAATGCGAAATTCTTTTATTTTTATAAGGAGCTGTAGACTACATGAAAGTGCTATACTAGAACTGTCATTATCTTTTTATGTTAACAGAAGGTGTGTTTTCCGCGGCTGAACTATTATAGTTTACGCCTTTGGAACTTAAAGTGAGACATGTTTAATATTTATCGAAAGCGAGAAAGAAAGTTCTAGTACAGTCTTATGCAGAAACAAAAAATAAACCTAGAATGTCGTGCTATTAACTTCACAGATTCCATATTTGGTATCCATGAAGTTCGCATGACATTCTATTAATATGATAGAAATCCTCCGTTATTAACAATATAGAGAGTTCAACAAGAATGAATAGTCATAAAATATTATAGAAGTGTTCTGTGTCCATCGACACGGTCGCTCTTTTCACCAGTTAATTCTTTTTCTGACGCCCATGTCCGTGGCGTGCCAGATCTTTCGGCTATGACGAATAATGGCAAAAATACAGACGGACGTATTGGAAAGGTACGACGTAGCTGCGAACATGGTAATTAAGACCGAAGCATTAATCCTGAAAAAATTCGACGGCCGTGCGGTGCAGTTGCCAACGTTAGCTCGGGCAATTTTTGCCCGGCCGCACCGTCCTCGCACGCAACCTTTCCCCGAGAAGAGCTTCACTTCCTCTCTGTCCTCCGCCTCCCCCGTTCCCTTTCGCAAGAGCTCGATCGAGTATCGGATGCTTGTGGTTTTAGCGCTAGCACGAGCGAGGAGGAGGCCAACGACGCTACGGTAAATCCTCCGCCAACTCGATGACCTACAACGCGAGCGCGATTACACCTGCCCAATCCCTCTTCCATTTCCGGAGAACACACTCGCTGTCGTGAAATCTTACGAGCTGATGTCAGATTGAATTTACTTCGTACGCACTATGGTATATGTTAAAGCCGTCGTACGCACAATTGCTGTAAATATTATATATGTATATGTGTGTTTAATATAAATATAAAAACGGAATAAATCGTGGGGAGGGGGGGGGAATTCAATGTTACATGTTATTACATTGTTGAGTAAGATATATATATATATATATGTATATTTTAAATAATGCTCAATAAATTTTAAAAATAATTTTAAAAAATAGCGCGCTACAAGCCTAAAAAGGTTTGTAGCTCTGTTTCTTTTTATTATATATATATGTTATATTTTATAATTCAAAATATTGCATTTCACTTTTACACTTAAATTAAATCAGTGTATGGCATTAATGTGCACCAATGCGCATGGCACTACCCTATTGAAAAAAATTACATCACCCAATTACGTAACAAAATCATGTAATTAAAACAAGTATTTACATAACGAATTGTTTTAAATCAGTATGTGATTTTTTATAATCACGTGATTTGAAAAATCACATGATATTAGAAATAATTTCATCTTTCATATGACTTTATAAAGAGAGAGAGAGAGAGAGAGAGAAAGAGTTATCGAATTTTAAATAATTAAATGATAAAAAAAGAAGAAAAAAACATTGTGTGTGACTTTTCTAATTACGTTGATTTAAAAAATGATTTAAAAAATTACGTACTGATTTGGAACAATCCGTTACCTGATTTATATATCTTAATTGCACACATGAGTTCATGTGTAACTTTGTGACGTGTTTTTTTTTTAGTAGTACATTTAGTCGAATTCACTATCTAGTTTTCGGAGGCATTTGAAACGTCACACTCGCGAGATTTCTACTCACAGAGAAATACGCGTTTAATTAAGTCGCAACAATAATCACGCGAGTTGACTCGTCCCTTCATTCATTTTATTCTGTTATCCTGCTATTTTTCTAGTGGTCCTCTTTGACTACGTTATTACGCAGCGATCGAGCAGCTCGAGGGCGAGCCGGAGACAGCGCAAGTAGTAAAAGAAAGCGACGACGTAATTTCACTCTATTATAAAAAGGCAAGCGCCATCAACTCAGTCGTCGTTAAAAAATTTACAACAAGGACTCAGTGCGTAGGTGGCAGCTAATCTGATCGAGTGCGATGAAAATGACACGTGACGGCAACGGCGAACCGCTGGTTTCGGCTGGACCTAGTAACGTATCTTTCTATCTCCCACTCCGTTTCCTTGCAGGTCTTATGCTTCCGAGCTTCTATAAACTCCGGATGGTGGTGCGTAAACGCGGGCGAGAACTCTACGCGACCTTTTGTTATCTCCTTTGAAAGAGACGCGAGTGCATATTGCATTACCTTGCGCGCAGAGCGCAAGGAAAATGGAGATAGACAACGGAGGGAAGAGAGAGAGAACGAGAGGAAGAACCATGGCGTCAGAGAAGAGCGGGTCAACCCGCCGAGTTTCATAAATATTTTCCGTACAGGCGTCACCAAACTAATTTATGGTAGCTGAAGTATACGGAACGTAACGTAACGCAACGTAACGAGACTCGAGATGCGTTACGTCTTATTGTGTCAATCGTTAGGGGAAATTTGTGAAGTAAGCAAAAGAGATAGTCGATACAATATGTATATGCAAAAATCGCTGCCTAATTTAAAAAAATAGATTAATTTCTATCAAAAGGGATTGATTTTAATTTCGGATTATCTTACTATTTATTTTTTCTAATGTTGACAATTAGAATTAGATAAATAGTAAGATAATCCGAAATTAAAGTTAATCTTTGATAGAAATTATTATTGGTAGAGATGGGCATCGATTTCTGCACATATATTACACCGACCTTCTTTAGACGAGATAGATCAGGTAATTTTGCTGATAAAATTTTGCGCGGTCAAATAAAGCGCTCTTTTGATAGTCGAGTGTATTTAGAGTACAATTTAAGGGCCATTGGGTAAGAAGAAAATCGAAAAATCCCTCGCAGTGAAATACGAGTGTTTGATTAGGAAGACATCGTGCACATTATTCATGAGCGTGTATGGAGTGTGCTCGCGCATACGCAAATACACGGCGTTGTCCGAAAGGCAAATACATGCTACTGTAAGATAAGACTGGTTCAAGGGCTCCAGAATATCCCTGTTGGGAATATCCAGGAAGGATTCTCCCGATCGAATCACGGATTATTAGCGATAAGCTCTTTCGCCGAGCATGGTAAAACTCGTCCTTGCACACTCTTCCCGAAGTCTCTCCCGCACGTACTTTATATTGGATTTAAACTTACGCCGCACTTCTGACTTCGTTAAAGGTTGACTAATTAAGCGCAAACGGCGTAACAAAAAGTACGAATTAAACGAAAGGAGAAATAAGGAAGGATTTTAGAGAAGGGAACACTTTACTATGTTCTTCGCACTAGAATGTACAATAACTTCGGTAATAGCGTGTATGCAAGAAGTTTAATGAAAATGATATTATTCGTAAGATGTTGGAAGATTCTTTTCTTCTAAAGTATCGGAGATAGAGAGCTCAGCAGCTGCAAGTTTAAAAATAGCTAATAGATTTCTTCTGTTTTAAAAGTCTTATACCTTAAAATATAACACGATTCTGAGTTCTCTGTCTAATTTATACCATATATGTTTCTTGTTCTATACTCCATATTAATTGTTGAAAGATCGTATAGATATTTTTTTTGGCTTTTATAGTATTTTACAAATCTTGATAAATATTTCTTTCTCAATCCAGTTGTTGTATATAATATATTGTTATATTTATATATAATATTGTTATATATAAATTATATTTTTAACAAATTGAAGAACGAATGGATATGTGTATTTAAAAAAAGATTGTAAGTCTCTTTTAGCATAAAAGTTGAAGTAATAAAATTTTCTTCTTCTATTTATAGTAAGTTACTTTTTCAGTGCAACCTCAGTCCCTTTTTAGCATCCATTTATTAATATTACCTAATATCAAGTGTGACCTATGCAACGCAGTAGACCGCGACTAAATGACCGGATACACACAGTCTGTGTATACAATCTGTGTGTATCCGGCCATTTAGATAATTCAATTTCCTTTAACTGAAATAATAGTATCGTGGCCCCAGAAAGAATTTGGATGTTGGGGTAAGCACAGTAGACGACGAAGAATAGGATAGGTTGGTAGGGAGGCGAGAAAATGGGAGAACACGGTGGAAGAGCAAGTCATTTGTACGAGTCGCCGAATATAAATACCAAAGACGAAGTTAAAAAGTCACCAGTAGAGGAGCAGACCCTGTATTGTGAGCTGTTACGTATACCAGCCTTGATACTTCTAACACGAAGAGGACTCGGTCGTAAGATCAAACATTAGCATTAGTATAATTTTTTTTCATATGCTTACGAATTAATATAAGCAGATTTTATATACAATACGTTATGACACGATATTGATGTAATATAAGCAAAGATTTCTGATAATCAATTTATAAATAATGTAATATGAATCTTGGTAAAAATTTTTCTGAATTTATGAATAATTTTGTAACTTATAGAAAATTTCTTAAATGTTTTATATAAATTGGAACACTTTTTAGAATTGTCAAAAAAGTTCATCTTTTGTAGAATTCTTCATGTAAAATTTAAAATATTTTAAGATTTCTAAGATTTTTCGTTCTATAATTTTTGGTGAAATCTTATATAATAATAAAATCAAAAGAACTTTAAATACATAATAATCACCTTTTCTTTCTTTTGTATTTAAAACTGAGAAAAATAAATATTCTTGGCATCAATTTATAAACAGCGTGAAAATCGTTTATATAAAGGCACAAAATACAAAAGTACTCAGAACGTTATAATATTTGGATATTTTAATTACTAACAGAGAATATACGAACCACATCACAGATCATGGAGATCGTCGAGGACTATGTTTGCAACGGAAATAATATGCAACGTCGTGACGCTCGGGACGTTATAGACGAATTTAATTATGAATTATCTAAAATGCGAGGAAAATGTCTCGATATCGGATCAGGCCCGGGAGACATTACCAAGGAGATGTTACTTCCGCTCTTGCCACACGATGCGGACGTAGTAGGTAAGCAAATAAAAATTTAGCGGTACGTAGTTTCTTTTAACAAAAAATATTCATCTCGTAGGCGTAGATGTATCTCAAGCGATGGTGAATTACGCCAGTGAGAAATATATTGATGAGAAACGATTGTCCTTCATTGTTCTGGACATCGAAACATCGGAGTTGCCAAGTGACCAAGTCGAGCAGTATGACAATGCCGTATCGTTCTATTGCCTACATTGGTGTAATGATATATGGTATTTTTGTTATTTTCTTGGATAACAATTAAAGAAAAAAAACTTTTCTAAATAAAGCCATTTTTATAATTAATTTCGTATTATTAGAAGAAAATTATAGGTATACGAGATCGGTGTCGAAACGTTTGTTTTACTTGTTTATTGTTAATTTAATATATTGTCTTTGTTTCTCTTGAATTTTATTGTTTTTATTTTGGCTCGTTGCTCGTTACACTATTTTAATTTTTATATATTATTGTCGAGCCTTCTCTCTCAATATTATTAATATGTGGGAATATTTATATATCTAATAAGTTTAATCAACACATCAAGAAAATATCCTGATTTTTTTATCGTTAAATTTTCAGGCGCGCCTTAGACAATATTTACAAGCTGCTACGACCAAATGGAAAAGCGCTCATGATGTTTCTTGGATATCATTCTGGATTCGAGGCGTATTTACGACTCAAGCAGTATCCACGATATCAATCTTACCTCCAGGTATTATAGTGATTAAAATAAATAGAACGCATTTAACGATAATGTTAACATTAAATTCAAATGCCTGTATCTTCCTCTTTAAGGATGCGCGCCGTTACGTACCGTATTTCCAAAGGAGAATGTGCAAAGACGTCAGGGCAAGTCTGCGAAAAATGCTCGAGGACGTTGGCTTTGAAATTGTGCACTGCAGCAAAAGGGAGAAAAGTTATGAGTATAGTAAACAGAGCCTCAAAAGTAAGATACTGAATAACAAGACAAATTATTATCTATTTATATAAACAAGGATAAATTAAATTAAAGCATTATAACAAAAATTAATCATCGCGACTAAATAAGAAATTTTTATTTCTTTGTTTATGCATTTTTATAGTAAAATATTTGTATTTTTGCAGACCACGTGTGCGCTGTTAATCCTTTTATCAAGCGTATCCCCGATGATATGAAAGGCGAATTCGTGGACAACCTGCTAAGCGAAATAATGAATCAGAATGTTCTGACCCCGCTTAAAAATAAAAACAGCCAACAAGATTATTTAATATTGAGATATTATCTCCTGATAGCGTATGTACAAAAACCGTCATCAGCTGTCTGAAGATTATTGCACAAATGCAAAATGTGTATATTTTTAGATAATTTTTTAATAATTTACACAAGATTAAAAACAACGAAATAAAATTAAGTTTTTATCTCATTTGACGTCGTCAAACAAAATTAATTGAAAATGATGTTAATCATTTTGTAAATCAAATAAATAAAGAATATTAATTGATTTCAGTAAAATCTGTCGATACAATTGTATTCCCATCGATGTATCTCCCTAAACAAAATCTTGTGTTTCTATGGAACATGCAAAAATGGCGAAAGGAGAAAAGAACAAATACGTTACCACTTTTGACAGCTTGCCTCCTACACACTAAATTTTATGTGTATTGTATGCTATATCTTTGATTTTACAATAGTACAGCCATTTATAGAATATCGTTATTATAACTTATGGATCATATCGTACGGATACAAGAATGGGCGTCATGGTATCGGTATTCGCATTAGCGGGTAATATTTCTAACTTTGTTTTCTAAAAAATACACATCCAGGCTTACAAATAGTCTTAAAACCGCTGACATCGATCGTGTTTGCTGATATCCAGTGCGCGCCTCTTAGAAAATACGACTAGCAAATCCGAAAGGTCATACGAGCAAGCTCATATTAATTCCTCGTAACGTATAGCGATAATTAATCGCACGATTATTTCCACATAATCACAAGGGGTTTCCTCAACAATTATTCTAAAGGATGCAAATAGTCGTATTTTGAGCAGCAGCACATTTCAAGATGGAAGCGATTCAAACCACGTGCGTGCCACGAAATATCCTCTATTCGAAATTTCCTCGCATTCATTTGCAAGCTATTTGTCAGTTGCGTCGCAACTGACCTGCCCTTGACTCTCGCATAATTCATAAATCGCCGTGTAAAAGCAAGTTCGGAGACATAATCTCGCTGTGGAACCAAACCGCGGCGCGGATGGAGGTTCCTTGGCTGAGAGCATGAATTTTATTGCACCTCGATATTCAAATCTAGTACTAACAACGCCGTAGTTAATCGCAACAAAAGATGTATTTTAAACATCCGCCGCGTGTGTAACGTATATTCCGTCTTATGCTCCTGTGAACGTAATCGATAACGCGCGAAGACTTTTTTTTTTAACTCTCAGCATATTCTAATTATCGGAACCTTCCGCAAATACCCGCCTATTTCCTACATTACGAACGAGGACATCACCTGTCACAGCAGCAACCTTCCGCGATCCGCCGTACGATGTGATTCCTGATTATAGCATATAGTACATAACAAATGCGCAGTTGAGTTCGAGCAGTATACTTTTATATAATATGATTGCGAGAGTCGTAAAGCATCGGATCTTGTGAGTGTCAATCTGCTCTCAAATCTCACCAATTTAGTCTCATTTAGCCTTTCATGGCATTTTTAAATTTCCACATTTAACTTTATGAGAGATAATATCATAATTTCAAAAAGCAGATTTTACAAATACACGTTAAATACGCATTATATTTCGGTTTACGAAGCAAAAGTTGTAACTGGAAAATTATAAATTCCAAATCTTTTATATATTAGATCGTCTAAATTGACTGAAACATACTCTTCAAGAGCGAGATTTTCGAGCGTCTGTAATCCGAATGCCTCTTGCAATTAGTTTAATTATTAGTTGTTAACTCTGGATATCTTAAGAATGTCGAAATTGTAGGTATTATTTAGTATACATTTATCAATTACGAGCTAATGCCGTAAATGGTAAAACGGAGTGAATAAGTAACGCTTCCTTAATGTATCGGTCGCTTAATTGATAGTTTCTTATTTCGTAGAAAGGACATCGAACATCAAATACGATTATTTAGAAAAGAGGGATTATATATCTGGATGAGAACAGCGAAGGATGATCGAGGGCAAGGCACAAGTGAGTCAGAGAGAGAAGAAATTATTTTTGGATGAAATTAATTTCTACGCCTTAATCGTTTTTCCATTATGTACCTTTCGTCGCGATTAAGATCGATACATCGCGAGATATATACATACACACACGCACACACATGATGTATATTATATTATATAATCAGACACCATTGACGTAATTAATCGACAACTATTGCTAATAGCGGGACAAACATCTTATTTCTATCGATAATTCCACACTTTCTTGCCCATGTTCATCTCTCAGTGTAGAGCGATTAATAATTCATTTCTTTAGACCATTTAAAACTCGAAAATATCAGATTGGAGTAACAGGAATCCCCGTTGAAAAGAATAATTTGAAAAACGCGCGACGTATAAATACAATGTAAAAAAATATCGCAAGATCTACGTAATTTGCATTTATGTTGTTATTTTGTGGAAATAGATACATAGAATAAGAGTTGAATTGTAAGTTTCAAACTCTATGAAATGAGAATCGAATTCGAAATTCATGAATTCCGAAAAATATCAGTGTTTCTTTATAAATAAGTAAAATATTTAAATAAAACATAAAATCAAGAGTCGCGAAGAATCAATAATTTGTTTATAAATTAGAATAAATAATTTATAAAGTTGTATAGATCTACAGAAAGAAAAATCATAAAGATCCCTCTAAAATAAAGGAAAAAAATCTATGAAAATCTTGTCTCTAAAGAATTTATAATTTATAAAATCTGTAGAACGATGACATTTATAGTTCCTAATTTAACGATCTGCGGAAAAAGTCTGCAAGTATCTATAGAAATAAGATCTCCATTCAAGATCTGATTCCTTCACGGAGCTTCATCACATCGATGCTTCAATAATCACCGCGTAAGAAATCGCTACGTGGCAAGAAAGCATAGCCGAAATTACGTATAGCTTAATTCTCAATAGCGTTTCCTTTCGATTCTTTCGTTACATATCCGATGTATATCGAAATACGCGCCATGTCGCTCGAGAGCCACGCTTACCATAAATTCTCATTTACCACATGATAGCGGTAGAGAGAACGCGAATAGAATACATTAATTACGCATTTAAGACCGTTGCTACTTAGGTACTTTCATAGTAGGATGTTCGTCGTTGGATTTAGCATGGATGAAATGCACGTAATCGAAATGCGACACGCACAATGAAAATTACAGGATTATAAACTTATTATCATAGACATAAACAGGGAGCACAAACAAAAAATTTAAAACACAAGTAGTCGCTATAAATCGGTCATCATTATGCATCATCAAATCATGCTGCCTAATTATAATATGTTTAACACTAGAACCGCTGGTCTAAATTAACCCAATCGCAATACAAAGTAAAGTTGGCTACTTACGAGGGAGAGTTGTCACTATAAAAGTAAAATTACTTGTAATTAATTACGATTATTTATAAAAAGTCACAAAAATCTAAGCTCCACGTGCAAATCCAAAGTAACTGGAAAAGGAAAACTATCAGATGGGTTAAAAAAATGCGGTTCTAGTGTTATCGCAACATATTCGTTCTGACTTATTTCTCGTGAACACTATACGCAATCTCACACACAATTAACGTTTAAAAACCCGGATAAGTCCACATCAATTCATACTATTACGAATGCATGATACTCCGATCAATATCTACCCAACTTAAATTAATCAAGTAAAATGAATGATAAATGGAGAAAAAGAGGAGCGGGAAAAATACAGGAGACAAAATGCGAAATCAAAACAAATTTGTAAACACAACAAATCGTTATAATCTCTCGTCGCTATTTACAAAAACGGACGAACTAATCGTCGATTAAAGAACGAGAGGTACATAACCGGGAAATACATAAAAATCACGATCACGAAACATATTACGAAACGGTAACGATAATGGATCGACTTGGACGAGACGATCGAACACGAGCATGTGGTCAGCGCCGAACGGCCAACGCTAATTGTAAGTATAACGAGATTCGGCGTGGCACGTCGTTCGTGCTGCCGCGACTAATAGCGAATTCGATTGAATGCACTCAGCACGCACTGGTGAATATTAAGCCGTCGCGGCGTACACAAATTGATTTTAAGTTTGTGTGTTTAATATAAATATAAAAATGAGTTAATTAATTACAAAGTTAATATAAATTTAATATAAATATAATGAAATTTTTAATACATATATTTATATTAATAATGTAAATATTACTTAATATAAATATAAAAACGTGAAATTCTCAACATATTTTATTGTATTGTCAAATAAAATATGTTTTATAATTCGAGATACACTTACATTTTGCTTTTATACTCAGAGTCAATCATGAAACTTTGTTTCTTCGAAACGGAAATGTGAAAAGTGAAAATTTTTTGCATGTAATTATATGTGACTATATATGTACACGCACACATATCTAAAAATTTTCAACTTTTCACATTTTCACTCTAGAGAAAAAATTATGATCCATATCTTAATAAGTGTACAATGACTTTAACATGTATCAGTGCGGACTATAAATGCATTCAATTGTATTCATTATAAGTTAAGGAGGGAAGACAATCATTTGACAAATTATTTTGTACGGGACGCGACTATTCTCAGTACAAAGTAGATAACGTATACATCTGTACATGCCGTACTCCGCCACGAGGTGCAACGCCGTCAGGCGTCGCGTTATCGATCGCTACCGCGTCACAATCATCGACGAATTTGCTCCGCTCTCTTCGTGCTTTTCCTCTTTTTTTTTCGCCGCCTCCCTTCCTTTTCCCTTTTCCTTTTATTACAAACAAGCGTTACAATCAAACGAGCACCTTACGATATGCTATACGTTACAATCTCAACGATTGAGCTCTCGATCGTGAAGCGGATACGGGATCGTTGAACGCAAGATTCGCGCTATGCATTTTTTATTTTTAAAGCACTACGTTTGTGTCCTACAAATCAAGACGCTATCGATCGCTAAAGGTACACGTAAATGTGCAGCGTTGTAAGGCGAGGTTTCTTGGGATACGGAGTTCATCGTCAACTCGGACCAGTAACGCAAGCTCTCTATAGAATATCGTCGTTGCACCATATTTACACATACATTGAGTTTACTCTACTTCATTGTAGATTGAGAACTAATCGTAGCGCGTCGCTGTTAAAACTGACAGACGATCAAATAACGCGGAGGTGTCTATACAGCGGTAGAATTCTAATATCTTCGTAATATCGGTGCAGCCTAATCGACCGCCAGAATATTATATCTCTTGCGAACGTTTGGAATGAAGATATTGTGTGTATATATATATATATATATATATATATGCTTTCTTCGTAGACATATCCGTCAAAAGATTTTTCGCTGTCTTCGACACGAGTGGATCGAAGAGGGACGCAACGTCGAGGACAATAGTACGGTCAGGTACGAAGAATCGTTGTTAAGGAGATCCTTATTACACGTGAGATTGACGCGATGGAGGGACGCGAAAAACATGGATAAAAGTAGGCAAAAGATCTCGGATGAACTTGCTGCGGGTAACGATCTAACGCTTTCAGTTTCTCGATAGCGGCGGACGTTTAGACACTCCAATTTGAAACCTCGGGACTAAAGCGGCGAGTGCGATATCTTCTTGACAGAACGGAACAGTACAATAAGCTGAGTCAAGTCACTACGTTTGTAGGCCATTTTCAACTTTGTTTAAGGTATATTACCTTATAATATACCTTATAATATATACCTTATAATATACACCTGCAAACTTCGGTTTACTCTAGAACGACAGACACGTTCGTTACGGGAATCCGTGGCGCAGCTCGACGCCGTTCTATAAACATCTATTTGGCAAACCTTAGGTGTAGTCGGTACCTCGGAAGACACCGCATTGGAGTCGACCACTTTGCCGTTAAGCACTGATAGAGAGATTCTAGAGAGAGTGAAAGCTACCCTCGAATCAGTGATCCTTTTATTAAGATCGGAAAATGTCCAAGAAAAGACTAACGTCAAAGCGGTCGAGACAGATATAAGATCGATAAGGTACAAATTGATAACATAGTGACGCACGCATCAATTGACGTTGCGATTAATTAACAATCCGCGAACGTGTTCGTCGTAGCGTAGAGAATTCTTACTTTGTTTCCTGCAGTTCTTATATTAACAACGATTATATACTAGCGCTACCATTTTTCTTTTTATGGCTATCCTACAATTAACAACATCAACAACAACAACACATATAATATATCAACGTGAATATATATGTATATATTATATCTATATATTCCGTTAGATCTATACTTATCTCATGTACACACGCAACTGTGTGTAACGTACACGTGTACATTATGTACATTACACGAATGTAGGAAGAAAACGACACCGATCATGTCCCAAGTAAGTATGTGACGTTCATCCACATACAATACGTGAGAAAAGATCTCTGACAAGATTACATACAGCGATTTGATCTGATCTAGTCGTAGGACAATAAATGCATAGGTAAATCACACTATACGCAAAGTGACTGTAATCGAGGAATTGGATGCAACGCAATGCAACGTATAATAAATAGCTTCGCGGAAAAACATGCTTAAAACTTGTACAATCAAAAACACAAAGCGACAAATAAATATCATCTACAGTCACAATATTCTGAGAGAAATATAATAATATTCAGATGGAATATATAATTGTATAAAGAATAATAGCATGATTTCCAACTCCTCAGTTGACGGAGAAAACAAAGCTAAAACTTGAATAAATATCATTGGAAACCTATATAATTGGAAATACGCATTCTATTTGCTCACTCTTATCGTTTATATCTCAATTATCTCAATATCGTCATCAATCACATGACTGAGTATAGCTTAATTAACGAAAATATCCAAAATAATCGCTTCAATGTCGTAATCGACATGAGAGAAAAATCAATTATCTCTATATACATATATATTAATATCGCAAACTCGAAAACAATAATTACGTTCGTAAAATAAAGCTCATACTAAAATCTGCTTCGTTATAGAGAGGCGAAACATCGAAAAACTTACAAACGTATAACAAACTAACGGGCGTTCCGGATAAATGAAAAAATACTTCGAAATAAATATTAGCACACTGGATAAAAAGTATTAATATGCAACGATAGAAATCCAGTGTACCGTGTATAGAATATTATTCTATACACGTTATAGAATATATGTATCATTATACACACGTATTACGCGTTTAATCGATATCTTCTGTTACACTATCTCAAATTGCCGCAGAGGATACGTATTTCACCCAACGTGGCATTTGTCCAATTTCGCAAAAACTTAATATCCACGCATATCGATCTGTTCATGCATATTCCGAACGTATCAGATAGAAGAATTATATAATACATTGTATTAAATATCGTTCGCATTATCGTTATTATAACTATCTACCGTGTCCGGATAAAGTCAGTCGCGTCAGCTACAACCTCATGAATAATTGGTAACTTCGTTTATAAACAAAAATACTATGACGATAATTAATGTCGACTAAAAAATGGTAACTCTGCGTACTTTTTAGAAATAAAGTATAAAATATATCAACTACTCCCCTCCCCTACCCCCTTTACACTGTCTCGTTTTCTCTCTCTTTCTCCCCTCTCCCTTTTTCTCTTCTCTTCTTGTAAAAGACGCCATAATGATTGTTCAAAAATGAACTAAATGCTGTACTTTTTACATCTAATACAAAGGAAATATTAAATCTGAGAGAGGTGCACGGGATATAACTTTAAGATTCTTAAGTTTACACGGATGCACTATCGCTTGCAATAATAAATGCGTATGTCTTAATTGCTCTTCTAGTTTTTCTGCTTATTAAATCTGCTCCATAATCGCGAATAGTTTATTCAATATTTTTTTCCCTCACTCTCGACAACGCTTGCAAAAAATTAATGCACAAAAAAGAGCAGAATTACATAATAAAATGCTATTATTGCACGCGATGGTACAATTATATATAAAAGTGATATTTATATAAATATATAGTCTATAAATTATATAACATATTTATAAAATTTTGTTTATAAAGTTTATAAAGTAACATCGTATTTTCCAGTATTACATAAAAATTATGTAATTTTAAGGTATTAAAAACGCAAAAATAGAAATCAACAAAATTGATATAAGCTCGACGAAATTATAAAACAATACAGGCATAAAAAAACAAATTAAACAAAAATACATATATATAATTAAGATAAATATATCTTTTATATATACTTTAAAAAGCTCAATGTAAAATGTAATATCAAGATATAATTCGTATTGAGATTCATTCAAGTTCGCAAGAAGTTATACTTTCATATCTGTGCGCATACTCTCTTATTCGAAAACTATATAATTGATCAGATCGCGAATTATGGCTCTTTCGATATAAGTACATACAATGAAAGAATGTACTTAAATTCAAAGTTATAAAGCGTAAGGAAAAGAATTTAAATTTCAAAAACACTAAATGCCACAAGATCGCTTATACATTAGATTATAAACACAATTTAACGATAATTTTGTGCGCAACTACGTCAAATATTTATCAACAAATAAATTTATCAAAAATTCAAGAAGCTAGAGTTCAGTCTTTAGACTGAAATAAAAAAAAACACAATTTCACAAAATGTAAAATATAAATAATAGAAATTGCAACGACAAAATAACACTTAAATATATAGATGTAACGTTATTGATTATTATATATATTATCTTCGTAAAACAGTTTTTCTTTTTCTGTTTAATTTGATCGTTTCTCATGCGATTATCGCCAAGCAGAATATAATTCACCCCGTATACCTCTGCCTTTGCTAAATCAACACGGTAAATAAATAATAGATTTACAAGATATAGACTTACGACGAGATAAATTTTAATCCTAAATTCGTTATTACTACGAAGAATTCCCTCATAGATACCTGTGTATGATACACGTATCATAGCATGTAGCCTAAAATATCGTATAATTAGAAACAACAAGGACAATGTTACGTCGTAACATTTTTGATTGTCTTCCTCAAAGAGGTTTGCCCGACCGTAATCGTCCAGAATACGAAGACTCGTTCTACATAATGGAATATTGGAACACTCTCTTGCTCCAGCAAGACAATGTCCCAGTATTCCACGGCACGGGCATCTTCAAAAAAAATTTTATTTTATATGGAGTACTTTCAGTCAAAAATATATCAGATCACTCGTGCGTTCATGTAGACTTCTCTCAGCATTTTCCAATGTTTCTCCTCTAGGCCAAAGAGATTTCACCCTCTCAGTATATTTCTTACATTATTCTGACTGGAATCTCCTGAGATCTGATCTTTTAATAGTCGAAGACCAATCTAAATGGAGCATCTTGGAACGCGATTAGACTTAGTTTATGTAGTTGATTAAATAACGATACCTTATGCATATAACAACAATATTAAATGTTAGCACTTAGGAAGGTTTGTGTTATTTTTTTTCTTATTTAGAATTATATATATATATACACACACACACCTCTCTCGCGCATATTTCTCGCGAATGATCTTAATGCTTCGTTAAGATCATGCAAATATGCAATCGCAACTGATACGTCTCAGCAACTATCATAAATTTCGAAATCTCTCAGACTTAATACTATATGCAAATAATGCAAAACTTGTAATTCTCATTAAAATCTGACATTGTCTCTTTCTCTTTTACTAAGCAGATATTTTATCATTAAAGAGATCAAGATATAAGCGTTTTCACGTGAGGCACAATCGATTAAGGAATCGATCGGCATGTACGATCAACGCTCATCGGTCGAATAATGAACATCGTAGTTAAAGATACAGTGTTAAAGTAATAGAAAATTACTTCGATTCACATTGTTCGATCGATTTATTTTTTTGAAGTATTAAATGGTAAAAGATCAGTATATATATGTATATATATATATGTATATATACAATTGTACCGTACATAATAGTCAAGATGTTAACTCGTCATGTCTCGTGTAGCACCGAGCTGCCTGAAATCACGTAATCTCTCGTTATAGTACCGTCAATACGGTGGCAAATTCCCGGCGGGATGGCAAGAATATTTTATCATTGCCGAGCAACTGTAGATAAGCGCTACGTGCTAACGTTCTGTTAATTGTTATTGACTCGCTTTCTTGTACAAGTGTTGGGAAAAATATCGTGTTCAAGTAATATCTTGCTTTTTCCTCCAAGTATCTCTCGTTGCAGAATTCAGACTGCGATTCGCGTTTGATGCATCGGATTGCATAACTGGATGCTTTGGACGATGCATACGACACGAGACACAGACATTCATAAATCAATGTCGTGTCATTATTTAACACATAGCTAGACGACTCGTTTCGTGAGTCAATATGTATTCTCGCTAAGTGATTCGGGCAAGCTAGCTCCGCCAGACGGTGACAGGGGTAACTCACCACTTTCATATTTGCTGTAGCGACTACTATACTCCGCCAGCAAGTTAGCTTTCACCTGTGATACATTAAATACGTAAAAAGATTTTACGAGTAAAATAATATATTCTTCGTCATGTTAGAATACAAACCTTGGCTCGCTCATCTTCTAATTTTTGCCGCACTTCTTCATGTTGTCTTTCCAACTCCGCTCTCTTCTTGTCGTAAATTTTCGTTAAGCGCGTACATTCGTTTACACCTTTCTCCACAGTTGACTTTGCAACTTCTCGTTTTATACGTTCTAACTCGGCTTTGTCTTTGTGCACCTTGGCCAATTGTTTGACCTAAAGCGATAAAGTATATCCAATGATCAATTTCGTTATTTCATATATTTCGTTATAGAAAAGTATTGTAATAGGTAAGTACCTCGCCTTGTCTCGTAGCTTGCAGTTTTCGTTTAACATCCGCAGTTTCTCTATCTAGAAGCACCTGAAGCATTTTCAATTGATTGGATTGCGATGCTCTCATCACTTTCTCGGCGGTTGCAAAAAGATTCTCGTAATATTTTTCCTGTAGATCACGTTCTTGTTGAACATGCGCTTTGCATACAGCTAAAAATCGTTCGCTTTGACTTCTAGGCAAACCTCTGGTTCCTTCATTTCCCTCACGAGTCTCCGTATTTTCCGGACATTCGGAAGTCTCAGGCATGGTCAAGGTGCTCAGACCTACTTCACTCGAAAAACTACTAAAAAATAATGCGACTGAATATTGTAGCAATTTCCGTCATCTTGTTTCGTATACTTACATATTTTTACTCGACAATCGCTTTACCAGCCTGTTGCTCATATAGAATTTCGATCTATGCTTCTCGCCATCGATCGAGGCTTTCTGCGACTGCAACCGTATTTTTTCTTTCTCATGCTTTTTCCTCAGAGATTCAAGTTTCTTGTCAAGTTCCATCTTTTTCTCCTTGACCAGCTTGTTTTCCATAAGTTTTTCCAAACTTTCGGCTACTATTTCGTCACTTACTGTTAAAAGAGATAAGATGTTAAGATACAAAGTAAAAAAAGAAAGATATATATATATATATATATAAATTGTTCTTAATAAAAATAATTAAAAAATATAAACACTTACTATTGCTAGCATTGACTGGGCTTTTATTTATAGACGTATCGACTGGTTGAGCTGCGGAACAGGGAGTGTCATCGTCCACATCCACTGTGTCTGAACTACCTAAACCGCCAATAGATGGTCTACTATATAAGCTACTAGAAGTTGGTAAAAGACTTGGCAATTCACCTATGGACTGTAATCGTTTAGCTTTTACAACTTCCTCCTGTAAAAATAACTTTGTTATTAACATATTACAAGAACATCAAATCGCGCAAAAAACTTACAGCTGGTTTAGCAGTACTAGGAGTATCACCAATTTTACTTTTATCCTATAAAATGTTAGTAATGTTAGTAATGTTAGTACGTTTGGAAAAATCAAATTGTTAAAAAGCAAAAAGATTATTAATGTCCATTTCCATCAATGTAGATTAACTTTAATCTCGGTTTAATTTACTGTTCATTTTTTTCTAATTTTTAAAACTAGAAAAAGATAAAGAGCAAATTGAATCGAGATTAAAGTTAATCTACATTGGTGAAAATGGACATAAATCGTTTAGCAATATTTCAAATCATACTTCGATTTCTTCCGGTTCTTCCAAACAATCTGTAAGGACTAATAATTGGTTCTCTCTCTTCTCCACTTCGCTCTGATATTTAATAGGATTCGCTAAAGCTTCAGCAAGTTCGCTCAAACCATCAGGAACGTAATCTTTCACGATAACGTGTAAAAATAAACTCGCTAATGGTAGAGGTTGCCCACACTCTGTTCTTAATGCTACATGTCTGTATCCTGGGCATAATCCAACTACGGGAAGTACCCTGTGACCGATTAAACGTCCAGATTCTTCGTACGCCGCTATCCTTAACGAGGCAAGTTCCGGCAAAACTACCTAAGAAATGCATAAACAACACATTATACAAAAAAATTTTTAATATTTTATAACAAACTTACAATTATAAATTTACGTGAATTATTATTTTACCTTCTTAAATACGAACGGCTCTTCGTCATATATAGGATTAATACCATTATTCGGCACAATTTTTGTGCGGAATTTCTTTCTTACGGTATCTGCTGGTAGACCGTACATATCGACTTCCACATAAGTTCCTACTCTTTTATCGGTTAAAAATTGTGCGGATATTACGTGAATGTGAACTGTGCCTGCTATAATACCATCAACGGTGGATTCGGCAAAGGGATCTAATCGCCGATCTTTCCTTCTCATAAATTCTGGTTTTAATAGATAACCGCAGCGTTTATTGTACTCAAATATTCCCAGATTTAATTGCATTGCCAGATCTATTGTAAATAAAATTAAGTTTGCTTTAATAGTAAATGATTAATAGATAATGTACCAGACAAAATTCTTATTTACCGAGTGTTTGATAATTTAACGCAACCAATTGACATCCTGCATTCCAAAACACTTGTGGCATGAAATTACTGGAATCAAACCTCGTTCCTGCTGGATAAACCCTAGATAGTTGATGCTTGTTGTAATTCACAAACTCTAGTGGTTTTTCTTTTAAAAGAGTCGTAGCTTGCTTTTCGTCGAAAGATGACATTTCGTACATGCGATTTTTTTCTACAAAATATAGATATAAAAATTCAGTGTTTTCTCACAATACGAAAAGAATGGATATAATATTCTTATTAAGATACTTTACGCACTTTCGGCCGATTCAAAACTACTGAAGTGTACGGGTTGCACATAATTAACTAAAGCTGAAATTTCTGCACCCGCCTCTGTCTCTTTGGCCGCAGATTTATCCGGTGCCCCTTTATCACCTATCCTCAGTTTTATGTCTTCCATATTAGATTCATCGTCTTCTGTACTCGATTCATCTTCTTCGTCTAAAAAATCAGTTTATCGAATATGCGTGTCTCTTTTATTAACATATTTGTAGCTTCAATTTCCGATTACTAACCTTCGTCATCCTGGCCGCTGTCCTTACTACCCTGTCTTTGTTGCAGCATCGGCAGATGAGGAATATCACCATTTCCAATTTGCTGTTCATTTTCAGGTGCGACATCATCCATTTCATTCTGAGGTATAATATCCGGCGGAGGACCGTTTTCTCCCGCAGCAGATAGATTCGCCATTCCGTTAGTTTCATTCTCTGTAGTACCTTCAACAGTATCTAAAGCTTGCTGTTGTTTTTTCTGATGCTTTTTATGATGATGGTGATGCTTCTTCTTATTTTTTATTATTATTTTGCGCTTTAGTAACTCCGGCGGTGGAAGCTCTTGACCAGGTTCTAACTAAAAACAAAAAATATCATTCAATTATAATCACTTTTTTATCGAGGAGCATGCGACTACCGTTCACTGAGCAAGAAAGGAATTAATATGTTTATTTATTACATAATAATATTCGTAATGTGAAATAACTTATCTGTTATAAATAATTTTTAATATTATATATTTCTTATTAATATTTATTTATTAGTGTTTATTATTTTTCTAAAGCCGTGAGGGTGTGAACACTCAGTAAACGATATAAACAACATAAAATTATGTTTACATAGCTCATTGAGCGTTCATGCTCTCACAGTCTTAAAGAAATAATAAATAGTAATAAGTAAAAAATATAATATTAAAAGTTATCTATAATAAATAAGTTATATTACGTTACGAATATTATAATAAATGAACATGTTCTTTCTTGCTTAGTGAGCGCGATCAGTGTACGGTCATTGCTTCTGCATGCACCCAATTTTTGCATGAAATTAATTTAGTTTTTCCATTAAGCGCAATATTTAAAAATACCTTGTGTGATTCGAGTGCCGCATCAAGCAACATTTCCCCGAAAAAGTCTCTGCAGTACTGAGCGATTTTGGCTTGCTGCCTTGGATTGCAGTGATTTTCGAAACTGAGAATAACTGGGTAGTCAGACGTTTTAAAAGCGGTCTCAGCAATTGCCTCTATTACATCTCGGGCACATATTTCAGGTACGAAAGTGTATCTAAAAAATTCACATTTTTAATTATTATCAATTAAATACTTTCTTACATAAAAGTAAAATTGTGATATTCGTACCCGTGAACAATAACAGGTTCGTCAAATTTCCCATTCCAAAAATCTAATTCAACGCATCGACAACCAGATAGAAGACATTGACGATAAATTTCCACAGAACTTCTTCCAGTAAGTTGATGTCCTGATATAATAGGATAGAAGAAATGTTTTATAAGTATATCAAATTAAATGTAATCTATTGCATGTTACAAATAATACAATAACGTTTGTATACCTGTCAAATATGTGTTGTGACTAGAATTTATAAAGTAATGCGGAAGCGGTTGATCCATATCGTCAGACAATTCAAATTTAGAGACAGCAACAATTGGATTATCTTCACTCATAAGATATCTCAAGAATCCGTCAAAACTTAGTTGTCCTTTGTTTACATTAGATTTATTGGGTTCGTACTGATTTATAATATCCTTTGCCCTTGCTTCATTTGCATAGGGATACAGTATCTCATTGAGGCGCGGATCTCTCTGCGACTTATTCAAAAAGTCCACAAATTGCAAAACAGACATCACTTTACGTCTACCAATAATTCCTTCAAATACTTTCTCCACGTCTGATCTCTGAGTCAGTGACTTGTAAAAGTTGAAGAAATCTTCAAATTGAAATTTTAACAGCGGTACGGCGTCACTCTGAGACACAATATAATACATACTAAATGAATGTATGTACAAAGTATTTTACAGTAAAACTTTTCAATAATATAATAATTCCGATAATATTTACGACTTAGCGCAGAACTTACTTTGCCGGATGGAAAGCCAGAAATATCGAGTGCTTTTTCAACACGCTTGCGGTCATCTTTGTTTTGTGCGAACATTTTTATTATACTGTAAAACAAATCAAATATACATTTTATATAAAAGAATCTTACAATGTTAGAACTGCATTACTATACTACTCACTTTTTTACTGGTACCTGTTCACTTTTATCAGCAGTAAGTGCAAGCTTGGTATGTGCTTTCAATAAGAACATAGTTGTGCTAGTGTTTAATTGAATCAAATTGTATGCCATTTGAAAAAGTTGTTCTGACCAATGTTGTGCTATTTCTGCACGCGTTGTGCAAAAATTAATAAAATTCATATTGACAAAGTCAGAGCCGTAACAGATTGTTACAGTTTTATCTTCTAAGGAATCTTGAGAACCCATCGTTACAAGCGATTTCAGCTTTGAATCCTACAGAATAGAATTTTTAGTTCACTATAAATTTCTGTTATCTCCTCTCTGACACACAAAGCCTAAGACATATAAACAAATGAAGTTCCTAATAATGCCACTAACACACCTCGGCAAGAACAAGCAAAAAGTTTCATACAATGAGCTAACTAAATACACACAATGTTCCGTGCAGAAGTATGTCACTTCATTCAAAGTTCTGCTTATTGATTTATAGGAAAACTGATCCAGCTAGGCGTGTTATTTCAATGAATACGGAACTGCCTTTATCTACCATTGGTGCTAGCGGTAGTAGGTGTGATAAAAAAAGCAAACTATGTATGGGACATAAAGTAGGTAATGGTCTATTTATAAATTAGTCAATAATTATTATGTGATGATGCTCTGTGCGTCATTGATATAATTATGGAAAAATTAGAATTCTCTTTGATTATTCGTTTTTTTGAGTATTCTTAATTCAATATTTACTATATTACCACTAGTAAAGCGGTAGCTTATGGGTACATCAGTAACAGGAGATACGTATGTAAACATTTGTTATTAAAAGGAACACAAGTAAAATTAATACCTTTGGTATTTTTGCATATTTTCCTGTGCGAGTATCTCTTATAATTGCTATGTCCAGCATATCCATCTCATTATTTTGATCCACCCAGTGTAAGTAAAAACCATATTTATCCACTTTTAAAGTCACCGGCGTTGCCACCCCAGAATCCTACGATTACATAGCATTTGATATTATGAAAGATTTATTTTTGCCGTATGACTGTTTACCATAATTGCTGCATAATATTCTTTCCGATAGTGTCACGTCTAAGTTAATTTGTATCGTGAAAAGAAAGTGACGCGAGTTATTATCATGGAATTCTAATTCCTTTCTTTTTGGCGTTGCTAAATTAGGAGGAAGCGCTCTTTTATGCCTAAAGTGACCTTTTACATTTATACTTTTACTAGCGCTCGACATTAAAACTGTCGACTACCAGCCGTAACATTAAAAATACACACGAACCTCGTCCCACTTGATAAACTTCTCTCCAGTTTGCAGCTGCTCGGAAACTTCCACCGGCTTTATGTGCATGGTGACACCTGTACCCTTATTGCTTGCCATCCTGACTCCTTGTTACCGTAAACCTTGCGCTGTTCAACACCGAATCTTCTTTATGAACGTAGAGGCAAAGCGACGAGCAGCGTGGAGAACGGTGGTAGCAAACACGTGGACGTTGACCACGAGGATGACGACGATACTGATAATGATAGCGGTGGCGACGGCGACGACGGCGACGGCGACGGTAACGACGACGACGGCGGCGGCGACGACTCCAACTCCAGAGGTGGTGGCGACGACAATAACAGTAACCACGACGACGACTCCGACGGCGACGGCTTCGACGACGACGACGACGGCGGAGACGGCTTCGACGACGACGACGACGACGACGACTCCGACGGCGACGACGTCGACGACATAAGCCTCATTGAGATTTCAAGCATTAGGAGCACCTGGATTACCCTGTCTTGGTCGCCGCTGCTGGTACCAAGGCGAGGGCGACTGTCGCCGTCGTCGTCGTCGCGTTCGGCACACCTCGCGCGTATAAATACACAGGTGTATTTATCTTAAGGACGTGTGCTCTCGACGCGTCTCCCCGGGGAGTCTGTGAAGGACGTCGAACGTGGAACCCAGTCACTCGCGAGCCAAGTCACGGATTCAGCCGGGTCGTCGCGACTGGACGAAGGTCATCCGCGGAGACATTTCATTGACGAGGAGGAGCATGCCGTGATGACGATTGTCCGGAGCACGAATCGGATGTCCTTAACTGAGCGCGCGCGCGCGCGCGCACACACACATATACATATATACACACACGCACACAAAACAGGATTCGTCGAAAGAGAAAGATGGGATGACGACAATTGAAAACGCGATTAGTTTCCGTACGTGTGCAGTCGGATATGTGGTAAGCACTCCTCTCAATGCTACTCTCACGCTCAACCGCTTTAACCGCTTGCTTACTCGTCGTTGATCCGGCACGGCTGCTTGCTCCGAAGCTGCAGCGGCGGCAGCAGCAGCATCGTCATCCTCCTTCCGCGCCAAGTATCGCGCCGCACGCCGAGAGACAAGCACCGACAGCACCGCGCCGTCCGCGCGCCGTCAACACCAGGAGGCGCTCTACCGGGACGAGACGATAATCGCGCACTCTCCGCTCACGCTTCAAAATTCGTTTCCACGTCCCGACAATCCGCGATCCCGTGCGACGTCCAGGAGATTCATCATTATTAATTTCTCGCGGCTCAACGCCGTTAAATTACAGCGATTTCGTCCGATTAACATTAATTTATTTGATTAATTTAACTGGCAGAATTGCTGGAGAGATAATTTTGACTGATATAATTCATTGTTCCTGATCTGGTCCATGATTCTAGTCTGCGTAAATTATGTATAAGACATCTCTTCTTTTCAGTCAAGTTTTTTTACATTCATCTTTTTTTTCTCTCCAAGTACTTATAAGAGGAAAGCTGAATCATGCAAAAAGTAATTCAGTTGAAAAGAAATAGACATCTATAGATATTATTTGATAACGAGTTCAAAAGTTCATCGGAGTCACCTTGAGCCTCTTTCGGAAGCCGAACGAATCGATTTCTTATTTCTTAATTTCTCAATTTTGGTTTGCTAAATGTGATTTATAGTCTTGTGATTAGAAAATTAAAAAAAATATCTTTTTCAAAAAAAAAAAATTCTTCAAAACTAAATTCATTAACGTCTACCATTCCAACAGTACTTCAAGCTTATGCTATACGAAAAAGCGACTGATTCTTTTCACCACCTTTAAAATTAAAAGGCGTGTCCTATGTTTAAAAAAGAAATCTCTTCTTTACTTTCATCTTCTGGAATTTTTTCAATCTTTTTACCGTAAAAGGACGCGATTATCATTATAGTATCGCTTTCTCGTGTCTCTTCCACTCTTCTCGCACAAAGTAATTGCGGAGAGAAGACACGAAGGGCTATATGTATATGCGAGAAAGGTGGTGAAAGAGATTGACCAACGAGCGTTAACGAGGGCGCGAATAGTGTCGAGAATTAACGGCGCCGAGGAGGACGGGGGTTGCGCGACCCTCTTCGATTATTATTCCCTCGGATACATACGCGCGGGAATCGATTTGCGGTTCTCCGTTCCGCAAATTCCGGGATCCCGCCGCGCGGGGTCTCGTAGCGCATCGATTTTGCATTAGTTCCGAGCAATTTGCACGACGCAACGACGTGGCGGTGAGAATTAAATGGGTTTCCGACGGCTCGCATGATAGACTCCGCCCGACCGAGGGTTTTAGATTTTTCGGAGAATACGAGATAAAGAAAGGTCTACGCGACACGTACATTTACATGTGCCTTACGTTTCTACCAATGTAGTATTGAATTTTAAGCTCGGTTCAACTAATAGCGTTTTATACCGTAGCGAGTTTGAACTGCGATCTGAACTGAAATAATTTAATAATCTTGCATGTTTTATTACTGATAGAGAATATTAACACCAACTAGTATTAGAGCACGTAATCTCAATCTCCAACCCAGGTCGATTCAAATCCACTACTGTCAAAAACGTAATTCTTTATAATTAGATTTCGTTCGTGTTTTGCAATGCAAAGTATAAAGAAAAAACAGTCTAAATCGAACGATAATAAAACTTTTTTATCAAATAAATTTCTAGTTTACGATATTAATACAACAAAAATATATAAAAATATATAAAATGATATAAAAATAATATCGAACGTTTCGGAACTCATAGGTCCTTCTTCAGCGATTCTTATCGATGTTACATGTCATAGAGATGAAAGCACAATCTTACGGTCTAAGCGACATGATGTGGTATAATTTGTTCGAACAAATTGATTCTCCTATTTTTGTGTGAATTTGGAAATTGTGTAATAAAATGTATGAAAACAGGAACATCTTTACGTATATTCGTTTGATTCTGTTAAGCGCAAGTGTTACAATGTTGTATTAACATTGTAAACTAGAAATTTATTTTAAAAATCTTAATACCACTCGATTTAGACCGTTTTTTCTTTACACTTTGTAATTCTTTAACTTCTTCTAGACTTAACTAGTTCTAAGAATTAAAAAAAACATTAAATTGAGTCGAGATTAAAATTAATCTACGTTGATAGAAACGGACACTAGGACATTAATGTGTTTTGTTTAACGCATGATGTATCATTTTACTCTTCTTTAATATTCGGTGAACAGGAATAAAATGATACATCATACGTGAAACGGAACGCAACTGCTACGCGACAGCTATGTAAATTTTGTTTTGAATTCGATCTAAAAATAAGCGCGCGTCCTTCAACAATGAAGAGAAGACGGACTAATCATCTACACCGCACCCATTAAATCGATCCAATCTTATTCAACTACCATTAAACCTAAGTCAACTTGACTTGGCAAACATGTGAAATAGAACGGCAATGACAGTGATGATAATAAGGTTTCATGTTCCCGTATATTCTCCTCCTTTATGTCTGCGATAGCGTGTCTTATCATCAACTCGGGATTCATTTCAACCATTGATAAGAAAAATCGTATATTATAACGATTGAGAAATCGCAGGTCGCGGCCCTCCTAAATAATATTTGTTACAGATTATCGCAAGTAAGAGACAAGGTGAAAGAGGAAACTTTAATGGGTTGCATTAAGATATAATGAAATGTAATATTAAAATATTACGATTGTATTATTCTTAAACACGTAATCCCTACTATGATACAGACATTCACTCTTACATTTTTACGACTAGAAACTTACGATTGTTCGCATACGCAAATGGACATACATTTGGTATTCGTCTGATGTATATACGATTCTCATTTATTTTATTAGGCCTTACTGTTAGTAATAGTCCGAGGCCTTGAAATCGTAAGCATTATCAAAAGTATTAAGTAGATGAATGAAGAATATTTGTCCGAAATTGTTATCTTGAAATAAATTGGAATCAAAATGATAGTAGTTATTTGAGAGCAGTACACGTATCTAAATACTTAAATGAAAACAATTTTTTTTAAATGAGAAAAATACTTCATAAACAATACTTATTATTTAAAGAATGTGATGTGAATCTGCCATGTAGATATAGTGGAAGTAAAAAATTCTTATATCATTGGAATTTAAGATAATGTAAACGTGATATATATATATATAT